CTCAAATTTGAATTATTAGAACTTATCAAAAAATAAAGAACAAAAATAACGCGGTACTTGTAAGGGGGCAACACGGAAAGCAGTATATTATATAAAACACATGTTACATAAAACGCTGCATTGTGGAGGGTAAAAACAAAATACGTGGAAAAAGCACAGGGGTATCACTGATCCATGGCACCGTTTTGGAGTATCGCAAAATACACAAACGGAAAAGATGGTGTGTCTAAACGCTTCTCGAGAAACATAAACAAATGGCAATAGCAATACCCCTTTTAAAAGCCATATATCATCGTACACAGATGGTGTTAGTAAATGTGTACCGGAAGTGCTCCAGAAGCCCCCCGCACCCCCTTCCCCATTCTTACTCCTAACTCGGGAACCAGAAAAGCTAGAAAGCTGAAATTTTGAGGTTATGTTCCCCAACCCACATAGAACTCATCGAATTTGTTATCAATTTCGAAAAGTGCTTGTTTTCTCAGTATATGCAGCTAAGTGACTAGATACCACATTCTCATGTAATGATGAAAAGATAAAAGAGGACAGAGAGAGTTCGCCTAAGAATATATAAAATGACCTCTTCATTTTATCAACTGACGCTGAGTATATAACAGATGACCATGGTCATAAAGAAAATGACCATCAGTGGTTACAGGAAAACTTACTTACTGAGGATGTCAAGAGCCTTGCCGATAATGGATGAATGAAGTTTTGTACCAGAAGATGGCATCTATAAATAAAAAACCGGTATCCGCAAACATGTGGCAATTGGGGAAAGCTTTAGGCAGGTGTTAGTAATATGGTACGAATAAATCTAATAGTATATGGAGTGAAGGATCGTGCAGCACGTTAAATTTCAGTACTAGATAAGCTGTTGAAATGATAGGAAATGAGATGAAATGAGCAGGGAAAGTGTTTGAAAGTCCTGAAAGTTAGTGGGGGAGAAAAGATAAGTGCATCTACAAGAAATATTCACATATATAACAATCTTAAAATTTATTTCACTTATAAAAAATCATAGGCTGTTGAATACAGTGATGAAGCGAAAATGTACTACGTAAAAATCGATAAAATTATCAAAAACTACAAAAATGAAATGTGTTACAGGATATGCAAAAACCCGTAAAAATTCTAAGTGAAAAAATTTAAGTCCAAAATATCAAATTATGTTCACAGGGACATGCAAAAACTCGTAAAAATTCTAAGTGAAAACTAATATAACATGTAAAATCGCAATTTAAGTTCAATCGTACGCAACAAAAGTAAATCCCTCAGCCAAGTTGTAAAGAGACAGTTCAAATTTACAATAAATATATTAATAATACGTTTATAAGTGGGCAATGTGTGCCTCAACGTGTCTGAATAGTGAACGGAGCCCCTTCTGCATAGATATGGGAAAGGAACGAACAAATGGACATGGGAGAGGAACGAACATCTCATTCTCACTAGCTCCGAATCCTTCGCATCATGGTATATTGTCAGTTATATTACTGATTTTCGTGCTCGACTCAACAATTAAAGTACTTAAATCGGCATATGTGCCACTCACATAATATTTCTCTTTCTTTCGCATATCCGTCTTGCAAATTAGTTACATGACTGTTCCGCAGCACAGGGCTGGTGGGAGGCTGTACTGATGATTCCCGCTTCTATCCGCATGCACAGTCCGGCCTGTGCTTATAGCTAAGGGATGAAACACAGAGACTGCATCGTAAAATGTCTTCTTACACATGACACTTAAGTCCAATCCTTCCATTTTACTATTTCATAGTTTACAACGTTACTACCAAAAACAGTGCAAACTTTCGATTTTTTTTTCGGCTTTTCTCGGATATCCGTGTTGAAACGGCTAAAGCCCCATTCAGTACTTCTGCAGGATGAAACGTTAAGCTGATAATTCTTTCAAGAGGCAAAATGAAGACGAAGATAGCCAAGAGACTGTCCATTAAGTGATGCAGCGTTGGTCAAAACAGCTGGAAAAGTGCCAAAATGCATAGTTAAAAAATCACACGGGTGAAAAATCGCACGGTGCAAAAATATCACATGAAATCAGATGAACATTACGAATTTAGCAGTTGATTCCGGTGCTCCAAATATCACTAATACAACTAGCAGCTACAAATAACTGATAGTTCGGAAGATGAAAGAAAGAAAAAATGCATAAGACACTCTAAGAGTTACATGCAACAACTATTTTGGTTTGATAAATATCAAACTGAAGAACAAAATTACATATCAAACATTACATACAATCTTCGAGAGTTTTCAAATGTTCTCTGTCGTCGTACATCGATGCCACGGCTCTGCCGACCGCCGGCCCTACTTCTAATTCCT